ACTTTAACAATGTCGTTAGTCTCTCAGACGATATGGAGACTCTCAAAATGCAGGAAAAAGGCAATTTGATTCATTATTTGAGCCTAAAGCTTTTAAGATCTCCAATCAGCATAGCCTGGAAGCCATTAGTGGAGAGATATTTGATTTCTTTATACAGACCACATAGTTCAAATTGGATTGAAAAAGTTACCAAAATTCATTGGAAGCACATTAAAATAAAAGCAAATGACTATAGCGGCAGTTATTGAAACTGTTACAGGCTTTAAATGTGTGAATATTATATATTTTAGGAAAATAAAACCATAGAAATTGCGCCTGATGTGCCAACCACGGTTTTATGAATCAAACTTCAAACAGAGTTTTAAGTCATTGTTAGGGCACAGGAAACACCTCATCTCAGCAGGGTAGCTGGAAAGGCACATGAATATGGAACGAACAAATTAGCTTTTTCCGATCTGCATCTCTTCAAGGCAACAAATTAATGCCCCGGGCAACATAAGCCTGGCATGAAGACACATCTGATAGCATAAACTGCCATTAGCAAGTGCATTTCAGCTAGAAAAGCGACTGTATACAATACGAACCAAATTAATTACTGTGTAGAAAAGCTTTTATTGATAACTTCAAAGAATGCAGAACATGGACAATAATGTTGGAAGCCCACTTTGTATAACTAGTTAACACAACACAAACAAATATACGTGGAGTATTGACGACAGGAAAGGATGTAAACATCCCCAAAGCATGATGGACTGGAAAAGCTTAAACACGACAGGCTGGTTAGCTGCACCTCAGCTTTCTGATAGTTTTATATTCCCAGAGGGAGCTGAAGAATTCATTAAAAAACACTTGTAAATGTAAAATAACCCAATACATAAAAGTGCAGGCCATTATTTAACTTCTCGTTTAACAGATGGACCTTGCAGGGGGCGGAATAAAAATAGAATTAAATCAAAAGTTTCCTTGACGATGACTATAAATAGAGGCAAGCGGCTGTGCATCCAGAGCTATGAACGGCGTTTAAGGAGCGCGGTACCCGGCTCAGTGAGGGCAAAACTTGGAAGGAAAAAGCATTTGAGTGAGGGACAGTGCAAACAAGCCTGAACTTCCAGCGGGCGCCGGGATTACGTCACATGTCTTATGATACGTCGGTGATGAATCGAGGACCTGCGACAGCCATGCCGCCCGGCGAGAGGCTTATGAGCGAAGCCTGAAGATTTATCTCCAGGCGTCCAGAGCACAGTGGGTCTCTGGCTCCTCCGTGCACCGCCGGCCGCGACTTCACATTCATTCAGTCTGTGCAGCTGCCAGATAAAACTGTTTATATCTACGTCCCGAATACAGCGGCTTCATTGTTATATGCTGTATTAGGCAAAATAAATACAAGAACCAACAAACAAATAATGCATCTCGCCGTGGTAAAGACAAAAAAAAGCTCAGTTTAGGAGGAAAACCAGGCCAATTCAAAGGAAATATGAAATAAAACAAGAAACTCAGCAGGTGGCTCTAATTGTACAAAATAATGGTAGACTTTAAAACTCAAGTCGTTTGGTGTTTTCCAAGACAAGGGAGAGAGAGCGAACATTTAACTCTCAGAGTCTGGAGTTATAACTAAAAACATACAAAGTCCAAGGGAACGTTCCCACCCTGCCTGCTCGAGTGCATTTAAGCAGCTACACGGAATATCCCTTCACCGGCATATCTAGCAGACTTACAGTAAGACAGTAATAAATAAACATCAGTAGATGGTTTTACGGGAAGGTGCAGTCAGGAATAAAACCAGGTGCAGAAAAGACCTTGTACAAATAAGTCTGGAGCTGAGATTTTAATAGGTGATCTGTGGATTGCATGACCCATGAGAAACCTTACATTTGGCCCGTGAAGTTTTCCCATCTGTGAAGAGGGCGATTACATGTAAAAAAGCAAATCCCATACAAATAAATCACTGAGCGTCTAGAACATGCACACTGCCGGCTCTCTGTCCTTCAGGTTCCTCCTGCAGTCCAAAACCAAGCAGGGTCTCTAAATGACCCTTAGTGTGTGACTGTGTGCAGGTATGTGGCCTGCGGCGGAGTGTCACCCCATCCATGTTCCCCTATTCTGTGGCCACTGTATCCTGGAAAAGGCTCCAGGTTCACCAGAAACCGGTACTGGGTATGTGGTTACAGAATTTTCATGGAAGGATGAACAGAGTATGTACGTATGGCTACACACACACACACACACACACACACACACACACACACACACGACTGACTTAAAAATTTTCTAAACATTCTCACATTACTGTGAGCATAATGTAGAATCTGCCAAAACTATATCGAAATAGGTTTAAAAGGAAGGAAAACATGTATTTTTACTTTGGGCCTTATAAAACAGCTTTAGCAGTGTCTTTTAGTACCTTCTTATAATTCTCATGGCACTTTAAGTGAACTGCCGAAGTGCCTTGCGAACAGCTTTATACAGTCTGACCATCATCCAAACACTAGCCACAGCAAAGCCACTGAGTGGCTGGATTATTAGTGCAAAACACACTAGAATGCTCTAGAATACTAGAAATAATAGCTAGAATGCTCTCCTTCAAAGAATCTGCCTAATACTGGACAGACAACTGGTGTCAATATTTCACTTGGAAATAATACCGATTGGATTTCACCTCAGTAATATATTACCCCTTTGAGCACTAAATCAAAATTGCCATTTTATATGCATTATTGAATGAAGGATTGAATGCAAAATCAACGAAAGACTTTATCATTCTAATAAGTCCAATGTTAGAAATAGATTGACACCTCAGCATCCTCACAGATTACGGTCAAGCTCCAGTCAGACCAGCTGTTTCAGGTTTCTCAGTCAACAATTACATTAATGGATTTAGCTGTAAACACACAACCCCTAGAGTCTTAAAGTGTTTTTTCCACCAAACCACCGGTCTACTCAGCAGAAGCTGCTTAGCAACCCTGACACTATTCCTGTCACCGCCTGTAACGAGAAGACAGTGGGGCAGGTAGGTTAGGGAAGCGTGGATTCAAAGCAGATCTGAAATGTGGACGAACACCGGAAAAGCTATATGGCTCTCAAACACATTTCTGACGTAAATACGTCTACATGCAGCAAGCACAATTTTAACATTAGCTAAAAAATGGTGGCTGGGACAACAGATTCGTTATTTCTTAAACATTAGAAGGGCGCATAAACATCTTGATCTCTATCCGGCACCATGTTTAGTCCCGAAGTTCAAATGGTAAACACAGACCAGGCAGCCATCCTCGCCCTGTTGGCAGGCTCATTCGGAGCAGTACACACCCCTCGAGGAACAGCAGGCTGTTGTAGTGCTAGTTCTCAAGGTATGTATTCAGGGAAAAAGCAGCTTTGAAAAAAACGAAACAAAACGATATCCCTTCCGTTGACAACCCGTGGGGGCCAAGTGGATTAGCAGAGCTCAGCCTAAATGGGAACACAGCTCAATCCCCAAAGACAAAAAGGTTACTGAACCTCAGCTAATCTCAACCTTCCTGCATTTCTCAGGTCTTTGTAAGCCTCTCCAGCACAAACAGTTACCAGTAAATGTAATAAGACAAATATCTTGAAACCAAAGTACTGCTGGGATATTGTACATGCAGTAAAGGCCCCTTTTAATCCATCAGAACCTTTGCTTTTTAAATGGTCTTTTATGCAAGGAGTCTCTTGTACTGTCAATGGGTGGCATGTTACGGACAGAACCGCAGCACGTGAACTGTGATATTCTTCCCCTTGAAGAGAGATCCTTGTAAGAAGGAACCACAAGCGATCGGTAAGCCGAATGCATACTGACTGACCAAAACTATAAGAGCACCGACAGTGAAATGTTCAGAAGCCACAGAATTCGGCTGGGCTGGCAGGGGAAAACTCCGGTAATTAATAAAATTTAAAAAAAAAATTAAAAACACTTCTCCCATACTTTTCCATTTGTCCTCATTAGCAAAATAATTACATGTCACAGGGCAAAATTAATAACTGCACAATACACACTCATACCTGCCCATAACGTCAGATAAATTAATATTGGATTTTTCTGAGCTGGAGGAAATCCTGTACTCATTCTTATTATTATGGAATCATGAGATTGATTTTTCTTTTAAAGTTTGTTTTAAACACTGACAACCGGAACTTGGAAATCTTATTTCCCTTGTTGCATTTTTTCAGTTATTAAGGGAAATCAACCTAAATGCTTTACATGGGCCAAAGGCTTTCCGTAAAGACAATGCCTGACCTATACACGTGCCCGGCGCTGGCCAAGAATACATCAAACTGGACACCGGCTCGGAAAAGCTAGCCGATAACCTGAAAGGTTAACAGTTCTGCATTCTGTTTGCATAAAGAGCATCACTGTTAACAGAGAACAGCAGTCACCAGTATCGCTAATGGACAAAGTACTGTTAAAGGCACCTTCTACAGAAGACATTTACTGCAAACATCGATATTCATTACTGTTCTTTAACAAATATACACAAGCCATTCACTAAGCACTACTGTGTTATTGGTGTAAACAATGGTTAGGGAGTTTCTGCATGTGGGCCAGGTAACATTATTAATGCTGAAATTATACCACTTTATACCACTCAACAGCAACAACAACGCTACCGATACAGCAGAGGGAATATTTTTTTATTTATTTTTTTTAAACCTGTGTGGTACTCTTAAGACAAAACAATACGTTCAGATACATGTTAAAATTGGCAAGATCATCAAAAATTGTTTATATGAAATGAGGCCTTCATATAAACAGCAATCAAAAGGGAAAGTGACAACATGTATATCGATTTATGGCTGTTTGTAGGGGAGAAAAGGCAAAAAACTAATAGACGTATAGAAATGGCTTCCATCCCTGGCTGTGTGCTCTGTTCGGGCAAACCTTTGCGTGCATCAGACAAACTCAGAGCATTACCAGCTGCACGATACTCTAAAGGCATGGATTTGGGGGTTGGGGCTTGGGGGAGAAAAGGGAAGGAGAGACATACATTGCACAATACCTGTCGTGCAGCCCAATGGACATCATCTCCCCTCTGTTGGAAGGGTGGTCCATGCCCTCGCCCAAAGCCGCCACTCTGGAATACAAAAGTAGGACATACTCTTACAAACAGCGACATCCAGAGCAGGGCTTTTCTGATCCTTTACACTTTGCACACTCTGGGGGAAAAAGAAAAAACTCAACATGCACATACAGAAAACTTACGGTGCATCGTCGATGATTAAAGCGATGTGTGTTCCCACCGTTACACTAAATGGCTCACACACAAGAGTCTGTAGTCATCCTGTTCCTTCTCCGCTGGGTAAAGAATAGCTCCCAAAGGCAGACTTTAAATCATTATTTATTTAGCAGCTGCTTTTATCCAAAGCGATGTACAGACACATGTTGGGCCAGATCAAGCTTCAAAGTGAAGTGATCTGCTATTAAAATTTAGACCGGAGTCTGCAGAACAGCAGAATGACACGTCGGCACCACGGGGAAATCACATCACAAGCCGGTTCATGCTACATACATGATTCAGCATGTGCACAAAAGAAATACAGAAGACATATTTAAAAAGCAGGTCCAAAACAAGCCGAAATACCACCAACATACCACCAAGGCAAGTGAACAAATAAGGAGATATTCTATTACGGCTACATTTAAAGTAACACCAAGGACATAATTCATATTTCCTGTACAAGTGACGGTCATAACTCAGGCTCTCTTTAGAGTTTACAGTCAGAAGCTACTATAAACCTCTTCATTTACCACTCACCTCTATCTGTCTTTATATTATACATGTTCAAATTAATAAGACAAGCTTCCATATGAATACAGATCCCATAAACTCTAAAATATGACCATCATTAAAATTTCAGGACGTTAAAAAGGACCAAGGTCAGGCTACGTATTTGCAGGCTTGATTTACATCATGCACGCGGTGATCCCCGATCGTACAGCATCGTACTACGTCATCTAACCCCAAACCAACAAGAATTTCTCCTGGCATCCAAAAAGTTACTGATATCTTGTTGGATGGCTGGACGTTGCCAAACTTCTCCTCAGGGACAGGAGTAAAAAGCAAAACTGCAATGTATGCAAAGTTAGGGGTTTTTCTTAAGACTGAACACGGTAAAATGTATACAAACTAGATGTGTTCAGACTTGTATTCTTAATAAAATTTTGGTTAATAACAACATAAAAGTTTCATCTGAGCTGCACTGTATATTTTGTACTAGAGCCTTATGTGCACTTTGACTAGAAATTTTTAGTTTTAGTTTAATTTATAGTGATATTTTTGATTGATTTCATTATTATATTAAATTTGGCAACAGACTGCACAATTTGCACTTTAGGAAATACTTTTTGTGAAAGTTATTGAATAAAACAAAGAAGCAGACTTGTGTAAATCCCGTTGGCAGTGGACATACCTGGAGCGCAGTGACACACCTTTTGTTTGAGCAACATGACCATTATATTTTCCTGTTCTTAGCAAACTCAAGCAACGGGGCTATAATACTAAATGCAGATAGTTTGCCATGTTCATTGAAATGTATCGATAAAAATCTCATTTAAAGCTTAGTTAGATAATGGCGAAAAAAAATAAATAAATCAGATCAGTAACAGCAGACACTCAGCATTTTAATACCAGAAAAAACTGTATCATGCCATCTCTAATTCCAAGGTAATGGCTGCTAGTTACTATTTAAAATTCTTATTTCTCAGTATTTGTGTATAACTTTCTAATACCAATAATCATGTTTTTAGCTTTTCATACTTTTAGAAGAAGAATTATTACTAGTCTAGAGTAATCTACTACAAACCATGATTAATATCTCCATGAGGTGGCTGACAGTAACGGGGATATCTGACAACGCAAACAGGCCCATGTTCCTAACAGGTCCTAACACCCCCGCACCATAACCCGCCGCAGACGCCTACAGATTGGCAGGATCGGCTCTCTTGCCCACCGATAACGTCTCCAAGACACGCAAGACCCACAGCCAGAGAGTCCTGCCTCACAGCGTTTCATATGGGTCACGGAGACCCCCCTGCCGGGGGAGAAAAGCATGTCACATTCCCAGAAATATTCTGTGTAATATCTGGGCAACAATAAGTTACAAAATTGTGCAACATGGGCAGCGGAGGCTAGGGGAAGCTTTCATGTTCACCAATGATCCTGTGCAGAGTCACCAGAAGATGAAACTCAGATAAAAAATTAAAATAAAAAACACTACAGTCTAAATTTAACGATTCAGCTATTAGTTGGGGTAGAAATGGGAAAACAAACATGAAAACAGGCTATGAGGCTAGAAAGTTGATGCCCACGATGAGATTGAAAGGCTAGGAGGCCTGCACACCGGGAGGGGTCCTTGCACTTCTGGCAAGGGTCGCTCATCGCTCTCCGAACTGGCTGTGAGGAGCCGCGCTGGGCAAGGCGCCTTTCACAGCTCACAGACACGACATACTACGACACACACACAGACACACACACACACACAGCTTAATGGCCGGAGCTGCAATCACACCACTACGCAAGTGTCAAAAAGCAATAATAGTGAGAATTAATGCAATCAACAGTGTATTCTACAATACTTCCTGTAAATAAGGATAATTAGAAAAAACAACATTAAGAACATGACAAAGACAATAAAAGATCAAAGGACATTCACAAAGAACCTCCGCCGGTCGTTCGGAAGGGCTGTGAGTCCTAAGCGGAGTCGACGGTACCTGATTTGCTCAGACCGGACTGGCAGAGCCTGTGCAGCTTGGTGAAAATCTCGTGCTGGCCAGGGGCTCTGGGCTCCGTGCGAGCTGAGCCGGGACCAAAATATCATCCTGAGCTGGCTGGGGTTGGAGGACGACGGTGAGGAGGTGGAGGAGGAAGAGGAGGAGGAAGAGGAGGATGAGGACCGGCGGCGGCGGAGGGGAAGGGCGAAGGAGGAGAGGCGCGGACGGGCACACGCTGACAGCAGCGGCATGGCGAGAGCGCCTTCAGCCCCGCTTCTGCAGAAGTGGGACGCGGAGCGGAGGGGGCCCGGCGAGCTCAGCCGGGGGGGATTAGAGCCCAGCCGCGCTCTTACGGCACAGCAGAAGGTTTAACCCAGTGCTGCCTGGCTCTGATCCACCACCTTGTTGGCACATGCTCCTGCTATAACGCCAAGCAGTGGGACTTTCCCCCCCCATGTCTTCATTTGCTGGGTGTTTTGGAAGACCTTCGCGGCTGGGAGAACGACAGACCTCCGGAGAAGCATCACTCCCAAATTCACTAAAGAACATTTCTGTTCTTCCTTGGCGCCCCTTAACATTGATGCTGCTCCAGGCCAGCACATTTAAGGCCATTCTGACTTCCTTTTAACACTTTATGCACATGACTGAAAGTCTTCCTTCCTCTTAACATGAAGCTGCCGGAACATCACACTGAGCAGATGAGTGACCCCTCCAACTAATCATCTGCTATTATCAGTTTAAATATTTTACATATTTCATTTCACACCTAAATTATAAAAGACCTACTAGGAGATGTTTTTGGACAAGAGACTGTACTGCTATGGCAGTTCACTTTGATCCTTCACGTGGGTTGAAACTTCCTCCATGGAAATCTGATGGGTCACATATTTCCAGAGAAGACAGCTTTCAGATCCAAGGCAACACATGTCCCTGTCACCACAGGCTGTGGTCTGACTAACCCCCACCGCCTGCCTCTTCTGTCTTCCCTTTTGGTGGGGGCAGGGGCTGCTCTGCCTTAGGCCAGGTGCAGAGTGTCACTTGGGTGGCGTCATTAGACGGCGCAACAGCTGTTTGTGAGCTGAGGTTGGGTGGCACTAAGCCAGACTGAACACAGGGACACTCAACAGCTTGGTAATGGCAAACACTCAAGTGGGAGAAGGCTGTAATACTGAAAACGCTGCTGTGGGCTGCAGAGAGACCCGTCAAAATCCTTTTGGGTCACATGGTTCCAAGACCATAAACTCTTAACTACACTCCAGTGACTTCCGGAAACTTTACACACGTCCGTAAAACTTCCCAAACACGAGATTTGATTCCTCAGAGAAAGCTCAGTTCACTTGGCTGTAAAATTTCTATAAAGGTTGGTCGTTAGAATCTAGAAACAGATAATGACATAACTTCCGTAATCTTATTTCTGTAATGGACCATAAACCTTCTTTATTGGTTACACTTTATCCAAGTCCAAGTATCAAATTTCAAAGTAGAACCTATACAGCTCAAATGAAAAATAATACTTCTCTGTAATTCTATTAAGCAAGTAATTCTTAATTTGTCTATACTTTTGTTTAGTTGCAATCCTTTCCCTGTAAGCCACCTTGAATTACACCTGCATTATCTTACACCCAAATAATACTGTACTGGATAACAAGTGTGTCAAAGTCGACAGGAGGACACACATCAGTGTCTGTATAACAAACTAGGTTTGGGACCGATTTTACGCTTTCTTTGCATTTAGAAATAAGAATAAATGTCAGAGGCAAAAGGCTACTGAAAAAGCAGCAAAGCCAAAGCATTTCAAATATCTGAAATTAATTTTTATAAAGAACTTCAGCTGTGGTGTCCCTGCAAGGCATATCTGTAGAAGTTTCAATTTCCTTTTCTGCTTAATACAAGTCAATTGTTTTTGCATGGGATCAGACGGTTTTGTGTCAGATCATCGGACGCATGACTAATAAAATTATGGCCCAAATCAGTAACAGAGAACAAGATAACGCAGACACAGAGCAGACCTGTCCATACACACAAGGCACACCAAGCATAGCTCTTTACACCTTCGTCTTGCAAAACACTTACAGAACGAAAAGGCACCAATAAGCATCGGGATGTTCTTCACGCATGCTTGGTAAGATCACAGCGTCCTTAACACAAGATCATCAACATGAAAACATTTAATCACAGGGCTGGTATACATATCACCAAGTCCAAAAAAAATTAGTAAAGACTATTACCCAAAATTCTAAATATATTGACTATAATTTTTATGGTCCGTATTACTATTCTACATAAACACTTGCTAGTTATCAGCAGAGGCCTGTACTACGAAGCGGGGTTACTGGCTTGCCGGGGTAAATTGTCAGATTTAAG